AGCTTAGCCAATGAAGGAGGCTTAAAATTCTCAAGAATGAGTGCCTCTCATATTTCATCTAAGAGAGGTTAGGGGTATAACATTTTCACCTCACCTGTAGGGTCAACTCCTTACTAGCGCTGTTGAATATATAGGACATTATCCTCCATAGTTTGTTTCTAGAAACGAATGTATTCTAAGGAAACACACATCTATACCATGGATCTTTCCCCGTTGTCAGATTCGTTGCTGACCAGAGTTGTTGTCTTTTTGTTCACCATGATGTATATAGGAGATAAACGTGAAGGTAACAATCCGGACGAGTGCTATAATGGTGACCCAAGTTAATTTTCCAGGGCCCTACGGTGGACACCAATTATACTTGTTAAAAGAATAATATGTGACAACCCATAGTAATTATGGATTGTTAGAGGCTTTATGGCATGTTGTAGGGTTTACAGAAATCTCACATAATCAAGTGAGAAGCCCAGCGTATCTAGTACTTATGTGAATATGTGAGATTGTCCGTTTAAACTTCAGGGTTGAGGTATTTATAGCCGTATTGGGTCTGGATCCTAGGCCATTTGGGAATAACAACGACTTTTGAGAAAATATGGGAGTGGATGGTTAATCCTTTGTTATTTACGAGAGCGTGAATAACTTTTCTAAGACTTCTTTTGCCCCATCGCGAACTAGAGACATGTCACTTTCCCATTTTCCCACATCAGGTGAATTATCCCAAAAATAGATAGCATATTTAATAAAGGGGCAACACATCTGATAATCAAGCAATCAATATAGGAAACTGGCGACCAGGAGGGCTTTATAGACAAGGAAATGCATTACTTGCCTCCCACGTCGCCTCTCATGGGCTTATTACTAATATATAAATGCAATACTAAAAATTGAAATGTGTGTGTGTGTGTGTGTGTTTATATATATATATATATATATATATATATATATATATATATATATATATATATATATATATATATATATATATATATATATATATATATATATATATATATATATATATATATATATATATATATATATATATATATATATATATATATATATATATATATATATATATATATATATATATATATATATATATATATATATATATATATATATATATATATATATATATATATATATATATATATATATATATATATATATATATATATATATATATATATATATATATATATATAGACACACACGTGTGTGTGTGTGTGTGTGTCTCGCTTATTATGGGTAAAAGATCGTTTTGAAATATTGTTTATTTTTAGCAATAATGTTATTAGTGTGGAAAATATTCATATTTTATCAACGACTAATATTGATAATGGAATCTAATTAATCGTCTTTAATATGGTATTCCCTTCCAACCATATTTTTTAGAGGTGGTAAAACATGTCAGATTCACCATACATACCCATTGCCCGCATTTTTTTGCCGAATGTGTCAATGTTTTATGTTAACACCCTTTATTATGCTTGCCCCATCCCTCCCTATTTTTTGTGAGCCGAGACATTTAAATTTTGGAACCATGTTTTGCAGATTATTCAAAGAAGTGATTAAGGCTAAAAATGACTATCATGATTTACCTTTGATGATGTGCTTTTGATGATGATAACTTGGATAACAACTTGAATGACAACTTGGATACAACTTAGTGTCACTTATGAATATAAAACATTTTATAAAACTTAAAGCATCAAGTAAAGTAATTATGCCAAACGATAAATATGCAAACAGACGTATTAAGATTTGATGACACTGCAAATATCCTCAGATGATGGCATTCAAACTAAAGTTATATCAAGCCTCATCTCCAAGAAGATTTAAACAAGTGCTTATATGATTAGTTTATTGAGCAAGTATTGAAGCTTCAAAGTGTAAAAGACAGAAAGTGCGAAAGCTCGCCCAATCGCGTATGAATGAACTTTGTTTTGTAAAAAGCACAACGACATTCTCGTAAAGTAGTATGGCTAAATCACACACACACACACACACACACACACACACACACGCGCGCGCACAAACATATTTTAAAACCCTTATTTCTCAAAGTAAATAACCCAAAAGTATTTTGGAGCGTAGTTAGTTGAATCAAGAATTGTTAGAATGTTTTGGACAAAGTTTTGAAGTTTTTAATCGATTGGAACTCATAACCAATCAATTTGGAAAGAAAAAACATTGTCCATGAATGATTAAGACAACGTATTAATGAAGGGAAACACCTTTGTATCCATTATTTCCATTTTGAGTTTTAGCAATCGATTATTTAGGGCTCCCAATCAATTAGGCTTAGGAACCAATCAATTTACTCATTTATTTTAGCCCATGGATCTTTCCTTTCTTGTGCCAACCTCTAACCTATAAATAGAATTCCTCCATTCACATTTTCACATCCAGAAAACGTGAGCTCCCTATATCACTCCTCACTCTCTCTAAAAATATTTATTTACTTTCTCTCACTTTAATTTAACCGTAGTGTTTCGAGAAAGTCATTGTGTTTAAGTGAGATTTTTTTTAAATATTTTTGAAAAGGGTGTTATTGTAAATTCACCAAGGATTGTTTTTCTGTTGGTTGAATAATTTATCCTTAAGGGAGTGTTTGTTTGGGTTCAAAGTTAAACCCATTAAAAGTTTTGTTTGAGAATTTAGTTTCTAAGTCACTAGTTTGGTTCGTAAGCCCAACTCGTGTAAAAGCTTACTGTGGTTAAAAATCTTCCCAATTTAAAATCTCAACTTTGTTTGAGGTTATCCCGTTAAAAACTCCAATTCAGTTTGTAAGCCCAGCCTGTGTAAAAGTTTATTTCTCTTCGAGTTCAATCTAGTTTAAAATCTCAAATTGATTTGTGGTTAGCTTGTTCAAAACTTTGGTTCGGTTTGGAGGAAAGCCCGTTAAAAACTCCAGTTTGGTTTAAGATAAGTCCGTATAAAATTTCGGTTTAGCTTGGAGAATAGCGCTTTAAGTTCGTGTTTTGAAGGAAGACTAACTGTTTCAGTTCACTGTTTGGAAGAAAGACTAACCGCTCTAGTCCGTTATTTTGAAGAAAAACTAACCACTTCATTATACTATTTGAAAGGAAGACTAACTGTTTCTCTCAGTTATTTGTTGTTTGGTTGGAAGTTAACTTAAAACTTCATTTTTCTTATGTATGGGAGTTCATAAGCTCAACCTACTAGAAACTTATACTCCATCCGTCACATAATGAATGACCTAGTTGACCATTTCACACAGATTAATACAAATGTATAAATCAAATAGAGATCAATATTTTTACTAAAATATCCCTTATCAAATATTGGAAATTGTGCTAGTAGTAGTAATTTGAGGGTAGAATTAAAAAATATAATTAATATTTGAAAATTAAAAATGATCATTCATTTGAGACACTTTTATTTTACAATTGAATCACTCTTCGTGGGATAAAGATAGTACATATTAATGAATAGTCTTAAGATCAAATTTTGAAGTGATAATTAAATCACTTCATTTTGACTAAACCTCTAAAATTTATAATGTCATTTTCTTACCTTTATTTCTTTAATTTCTACATATTTACTTTCCGCTATTTCTAAAACATTTTCATCAAAATAGTTTTAAACTCTAAAAAATAATAACAATATGTTCTTAAATTATAATTTCTTTTAAAATCCGCAATTCATTTCTCTTATATGTGAAGTCATATTCCTAACATAAATAAATTTTGTAATTTTTAAACACTAAAATACAAAACTCATCCAAACTGTGCCACACTCAATTTTTTTTTTAATATAAATCAAAATTTTAGACTCGCAACTAATCATACATCTTGTATCCCCAATTTCTTTTTCCATCTCTAACATAACATGAAATCTTGATTAAATTATGACTTTAATTCCACTCTTACCAATTAACTAATGAAGTATTATTTATATCAACAAAAGTGACTCATAAAAAAACCACCCTTTTAGAGCTAATTAACTTAAAAAAATAATGTCATGATAACTTTGATGAAAGAAGAAAGAAAGTTCCAAATTTATTAATTTTGCTTTCATCATCACGTGAAGTTGCGTGGAGCCATTTTCCACTTTGTGACAGTGTTCCTTCCTTCCTTACTCTTGTGTTTTTGAAACAGCTTTTGCTTCTTTATCACTCTGCAAAACAACAACATTTGTACGACCAAACCCATTTTTTCCCTAGTTTTCACACCCATAATCCTTCAAAGATTTCATTGTCTCATCATAAATAATCATTCAACACCATCTCTTGCTGTTTTTTCAAGCTTTTCTTCTTCTTCAAGTTGCAATTTTTTTCACAAAAGTCAATGCACCCCCTTTTTTTATACACCCCCCATTTGGATCTGAATCTCTTTTATCTCACCCCCATTGATGAAACTCCTTAAAATCTTCATGGGTTTTCACCTATTCATCATAAAGACTAAATTTTTATGATTTTTGTCATAAATTTCTCATGTGGGCCATTTTCTTTCTCATGGTAAGTCTTGTTTTTTGCAACCATGAATTATAGTTTCTTTTTATGTGATTTATGATTTTAATTTCTTTTTAGTGTGTGTTTTGTTTCATTAATTTTAAATTATGAGTTTATGACTCTGAGTTTAAAGTTAGATCTTCTACTCTTTCTAATCATGGTTCGAGAATCTAATTGGAAACATAAACAAAATGTTAAAAAAGTTCAAATTTTTGAGAGCTAATGATTTAGACTTTTTGTTTGTTTGTTTCTAGATATGATTATTGTGTTGTTTTGTTAGAAACTGATTAATTTAATGGTTATGTTACAGTGGGACAGACATGTATTATTTTTTATCTAATGTAGACAAACTCTAAGATCCAAAAGGACAAGTCCATGTAAGTATTCTATTTTCTCTAATGTTGTTTCAAAATTTTTAATAACAATTGTTGTTTTTGTTTTTGTTGTTTATAATAATTTTAGCATCTAAGTAATTTGATGAAATTTCTGTGACAGAAAATATCCCTAAGGAGACTTAGTCATGTATAAACCATTTGTGACATGTGATGATCCAAAAGGAGTTGTTGAGTGTGGAACTATAAGAAGATATAGGTCAAGTTCTCACAAAATGAAGGACAAGACAAAGGGCCGAAAGACGGCCGAAAATTTAGAGACAAACAAAGAAGTTAAAGAAGAGAAGGTATCGTCAAAAGGCTCGAGCGGAAGAGATTTTGATCCATCTTCTATGCAGCTTGTGGAGGTGTCTAGAGGTGCCGAGAAATTGAACAAGATGATTAAGTCATGGTCTAGTGGTCTAAGGTATGATGGAAAATCCGAAGATATCGCGAAGGATTTGTTAAAAGGAGCTCTTGATTTGCAAGAATCTCTAGAGATGCTTCGAAAGGTTCAAGATGCGTCGAGTAGTATTGCTCGTTCGAAGAAAAAACAAGACGAGGAACGTGAAAGGAGTAGAATTGATGCAAAGGTGAATGATAGAATTGGGACAATGCATTCTAGTCAATTTGTTGAACATAATTCGGCTTATGGTTCTTCGAGTAGTTGTAGAGAGGAACTTAAGAAAGTTATTAAGGAGAGTTTGGTCAGACAAAATCTATTCCAAAGTACAAGCACTTCTGAAGGATTGGATTCAGTTTCCGCAGCGTTCCCTTCTACAAGCTCAAGTCAATCTTCTGTTGTTTGGTATGACAAACTTTCTGATTCTTCGTCGTCACCAAATTTTCCGAAGAAGGAGAAAAGTACCAATCTTGTTGCAAGGTTGATGGGATTAGAACAAGTCCCTTCAAGAACATTTCCATCTGTTATGCAAAAACAGATGGAGAATCAAAAGATTGTGAATCAAAAGAGACCGGTATTCGAGATTGACACACCGAAGGTAAGAAAGCATAGTTTGGTAGTCGAGAAGGTTAATCCGGAAAGACAAAAGACGCTGAGGGAAATTCTTGAAACCACTCATTTCAATGGATTGTTGAAGAATAGTCCTATCAGAGAGCACAAGCTTCACAATCATGTCGATCATTCCAATGATCTTCAATACAATGAGTTTGGTGATTTACCACCGATTGTACTCATGAAACCCCGGCGTGCTTCGTATGAAGAATTCGTAGAAACTTATGAGCCAGTTCCTCAAGAAGAGTCGTCTTTTAGAAATCTAAAAGAAAGAGGAGTTCCTTCAAAAACCTTCAATCCAAGGGAGGGTTCAACTGCCAACACGAGAAAAGACATGGAAGAAAATCTATCCAAAAGGGTTAGCAGAGAGGAAAGACCGAAGCGCGTCAAAGAGGTTTTTGAAATTGATGTGAAAGAAATCAAACCGGTCGAAAACAAGAAGGTTCAAAAAGCTAGTCTAAGATTACAGGCAAGTGAAACAGTCGACGAAAAAGCTAAGGTAAAGAACATTACAAGTAGCAGAAAACCACTAGAGAAGGAGGTTTCAAAAGCTAAAGTTGTAACAAAAGCTCAAGATCAAGGAGAAATCAGGTCTAGTAGCGAAAAGTTGAAGAAGCCGCGAAGTGTGTCAAGAATTGACAAGAACGAGACTCCATCTAGAAAGAGCACTTCTTCCAATTTAAATACCACAATCACAAAACCGAAGACACAAAAGGTTAATAGTTCGAAGGATTTGAAAAAGAGTCCGATGAAGAAGCAAAGATCTATCGGCTTGCCTGAAGCAGCTAAACCACTCGTAAGTTTTACTACTGTCATTTTTTCTTGTTTCTATGGTATATAGTTGGGTTTGAAATTTCGAACTATCTTGTATTAAAGAGTTTAGCTTAGTAATCTTTATTAGTCGAGTTTCAATTCATTATTCTTGTGCGCAGGATGAACACTTAACACAAGAAGACGGAATGAATATCAATGTTTCTTGTAAAGATGATTGTGCTGAGATTAAAATAATCACTACAATAACCGAAGATCCCATCATGGAGCATGAAGTAGACACCTTTTCGAATAAGACTAGAGGTTAGTTTCTCAAACTATCACTGGTTTCACTTTTTAGACGATTCGTGGCACATATAGGGGTGTAACAGGTTGGTTTGGTTTAACTTTTCGGAGGAAAAAATTCAAACTAATTAGAATTTGTCGGTTTTGTTCAGTTTTTGTAACATTTTCATTTTGAAATCTAAGATGGTGACTAAGATGAAGACTAAGATGGTTTGGTTTATGTGACTTATTTCACCCTTTTACAGATATTTCCGAGGAGGGCCAGAATTCTTTAGATGATGATGTTTTGATGCTAAGTTGTGAACATGAAATCGATGCCATCCATGCCGAGGAACCTCATGACACCACTGGTATCAGTGAAACTGATTTTGAGCCAGACAAATACACTCCTGAGCTGAAATATTTTCTTCTCACAAGTAAATCATTCATTGACCATGCAGTGGAGCTTCTCAATCTTGATGTTGGTTATCCTAAGATCCTACCGATGACTGAAACTAAAGGAATAACCAATAGCAGACTCTACTTAGACTGCGCGAACGAACTCGCTGAGAGAAAAAGCCTTCAAGAGTCATCATCACAACTAGTTCACCCCTTATCACTAACATGCATAGGGAATTCAAAATTGCGAATCTCTTTGGGAAGCTTGGTTGAAGAAGTTTACAATGCAATTGAGAATCTGACATCTTATAGTGAAAATTCTGAGACTAAACTTCTTTTGGATAATATCTGTGCAATGTTGGAGAGAGATATGAAGTGCAACAATAGAATGATAAATGGAATATGGAACTGTGGTTGGAAGCATGGATTTTCTTGTGATGAAGTTGAACAAGTTGTTAATGAAGTAGAAAACATGGTTTTAGATGGATTAATTGAGGAGATTATTGTAAATTTATGATTACACTTTTCGTGCCTGCATGCAATCAGCCATAGAAGGTCCGAATTTCAAATTTGGTATTTAGATTTTTAAAAAATCAAAATCTTCATTGAAATTTGGACCTTCACTGACTGCGTGCAATAAAGATCTTTATTGCGAAGATATCAACATCTTCACCTTGTATATAATAAGGGCTAATGGAATTGACCACAAGATAGAAGAGTTGAACAAGTTAGGTGTAGAAGTTGCATAATTTTGGTATGAAAACTTTATTTTAATAGAATTCTCATAAGTCATATAGTACATTTGATTTACCTATTGTGCATTCTTTTTAACCTTTTGAAATCAAATTTCAAGAATTTTGAATATGTGACAGAGAGAATCATGTGTATATCCCTAAAGTTTGTTTCTCTTCCCTTTGAGGATGAAACTCAGTTTATGATACTAGTATGGAGAATATTATTAAGACCTTGTGTACCCTCTAACCCTTGTCAGCTAAGATCTGGGACATACAGGTCCCAGAAAATATTCCATGTGTAACCCTTCAGTTGCTTCCTCGTCTCCAACTCTATCATTTAGTTCCTTTCTCTTCTCCAACTCCATCACTTTCACGCTAAGACAAGCATTATGATTTTCAGTATCAGAACTATTTTTGGATGCATTTATCGTATGCTTCTTGTTGTCAATATTCATATCAGAACTATTTTTAGATGCATTTATCGTATGCTTGTTGTTGTCAATATTTTTTAGATTAATCTTGTTGTGTTAGTGAGTATGCGTTCCTTGTCGTTGCTTTCCTTTTCATAATTGTTCATACCACGCTTCTTTTACATTGCTCTTGTTGTATACACGTTAACACACTAGGTTTTTTTTATTAAATTAATTTAATTTTCATTGACTATTGTATTATGGTTAATTTTTTCATTTTAAAAGTATGATTATTCGGGTGATATGTATTAGAGTTAACAACAAAACTTTATTGTTGCACCAGAAGAAGAAAAAGAACAAAGAATAGAGAGAGAGCATAACTAACTTTTTTTTCCATCACTTTTTCAAAATTCACCAATGTTGCAATTTGTATCTAACTTTGGATTTATATTCACTAACCCAAATGAAACTCAAAATGCAAATGCAAACTCAAATGAAATAAAACTTAAGCTAAATATCTTGAATTCTAATTATATTTAACATCATCCCTTAATTCATATTCATGATTAAAAATCAACAACACTAATTTCATCCCTCAAATGAATGAAGAGTTCAGTTTTGATCGCCTTGGTCAGCATATTTGCAAGTTGCTTCTGAGTGCTGACGTGAACAACCTCAAACACTTCATTATGAACTTTATTGCTCAGAAAATGATACTTAATATCAATGTGCTTGCTTATTCCATGCAACATTGGATTCTTGGTAAGACTTGTGGTTGATTTGTTGTATATCATCAATCTGACTAGTTTTCTCACCTTAAACTTTAGTTCCTGTAGCAAATTTATAAGTCAAACAGTCTGACACGCTGACAAAGCACCAGCTATGTATTCTACTTCACAAGTTGACATAAACATGTATATTGTAGTGCTTCTTCTGTCTACTCTGTTCTCGCACGAGTCTGAGTTTGAATAACATATCAACTCAAGATCATCTGACACTCTAGATAAAAACAAAATTCCATACCTCAGAGTCCCTTTTACATACCTTAGTATCCTGATTGCAGCTTGGTGAAGTGACCACTTTGGCTTACTCATAAACCTACTTACCATTTCAATTACATAACATATGGCAGGCCTGGTGTTACATAAATATCTCAGAGAGCCAACCAATTGTTTTGTGGTTGTAGCATGTACAACCTCACCATCAACATCAAAATTCAGTTTATGGTTTGTCTCAGCGGGTGTGACTATTGACTTACAATTCATCAACTCAAATCTCTTTAGCAACTCAAGCTCATACTTCAGTTCGTGCATAATGAAACCCTTATCTGAGTGGAGAATCTTCATCCCTAGAAAATATACCATGTTTCCAAGATCAGTCATATCAAATGCATTCATCAACACTCTTTTGAACTTGTTTATCTCAGAAGTACAACTCCCTATTAGAAGTATGTCATTTACATAAAGACACACTAGGATCACACTAGCATTAGAAGTATGCTGCACATACAGACCATATTCCATTTCACATTTTTTGAATCCCATATGCTTGAAAAATGAATCAATTTCCATATTTCAATTCCTTGGAGTTTCTTTAAGCCCATACAAGCCTTTATGTAGCTTGTACACCAACCCTTGTTTAATCTCAATCAAAAATCCAGGAGGTTGTAACACATGAACTTCTTCTTGCAATGAACCATTTAAAAAGCTGATTTTAAATATAAATGTATTAGAGGCCAATTCCTGTTTAGAGCTATAACAATAACCAATCTTATGGTTTCATGTCTAGCTACAGGTGCAAACACTTCAAAGTAGTCTAAACCATACTTTTGTAGGAATCCTCTAGCTACTAACCTTACTTTATGCTTTGCAACTGAACCATCCGACTTCAATTTTATCTTGAAAATCCACCTCACACTGATGGCTTTCTTGTTCTTAGGTTGAAATGTCAATTCCCATATCTTGTTTCTTTCAATGGCCTCAATTTTTTTCCTTCATGGCGTTCCCCCACACCTTCTTCTTAAGTTACTTATTGAAACTGACAAGCTTACAGTCTACCATCATGGCACACTGTACGACTCCCCCTTTATTGCACCCCAAAATTTTCCCTTCTGTTTCTAACAGTAACTGGCTTTTACTTTGCATTCATCTGCATTTTTCATTAGGCCACACAATCACACATCATGCATTCGTTAACCAATAAGCTTGATACATTGGATCAATGATCGTTGAAACTAGGGTTTCACATAGCAATTAGGGTTTCATCTTCTTTTGGATAGGTATGTGTCATTGAAATACTTAAAGGTTAGAGATCTTGGGTTAGAGTTTGTCCCTTATGCTTGTGCTTATCAGATGAATCCTAAAAGTTTGGCCACTGTAATCATTAATGGGTTTATCTTCTGGTGGTCGCCGTCATCACTTGATTATGGTTTATTGTCATGATCATATGGCCTTCAAGGAGGGTTTGGATCAAGATATTTGAAGTATTGGTATAAGAAGATTGAGAATCAACTCATACAAGGTTGATTGATGGCATCTAGGAAATAGTGGAGTACGACATTGTGGCACTGGATTTAATCAGGGATAGAAAGCATCTTAAGTTAACCACGAAAGACTTACTTGACTGGTTAAGTCTCTTTAGGGGCTTGTTTAGTACACTAGCTTTGGTTATCCAGTTTGGGTTCAAGACGAGGCATTGTTCATACTAGATTCAAGATTCTTGTTCATTCAAAATCAGAGATCCAAATTCCATGTCCATGTCCAAAAGCCTACATTTCCAAAACCAAATATCTAACATCCATCTTTTAAATCCATTTTTTAGCCCATATTCAAGTCCATTACAATGCCCAAAGAACCATATCCACATTCAAACATCATGTCCAATTTATATCCAAATTCGATATCCATTTTAAAAATTAAGACCAACTCCAAATATCCATATTCATTTTTCCACTCTTTTCAAACCAATTTTTCCACTCTTATAAATCACATTTTCAGTCCATATATGTATCAGGATCTATTTCTTAAATCCATAACCATTGTAAATCCATGCAAATCATATCCAAATCTCTATCCATGTCCATTACTATATCATTATCCATAAACCTTTTTCTTAATCCATTTTTCTCATTTTAGAAGCAAGTCCACCCAATTCCATTTTAATTCATTTTCCTAGATTCATTTTAGATCCATTTCAAGTCATTATCCAAATATCCATTCTTCCAAAACCACACCCAATACAAATATTCAAGGCCATGTCCAAATAAAGTCCATTCAAAATCCATTACCAACTTGAAATCCAGGTTGTCTAATTCAAAATCCATTTGCCCATTCAAATAATCAAACTGCATTCCAATTCAATTGTCCTAATGTCTACAACCAAATCCCAATTTCAAGTTCAATTTTTAATCCACATTTTTACTATGTGCAAATCAGAACCATATCATAAAAATTCTTTTTTTCATTTTCATTATTAATATATTTTGGACTTGTTTTCTACCTGCATCACTGAAATCTAACAACCCACTTTTCAGGTGAAATCAAGTCCTCTATTGTGTATTCATATTAGAGAAGAGCGTTGAAACACTGCGATTTATGCGGCTGGGGTTGATGAGCCATCTTCTATGGTGTGTTTTGTAATAGAAAATATGGGCTTACTCTTTAGCAAAAGTAACTGCTATCATGCCAAATCAACGCAGGTGCAAAAATCACAAAGCAATTAAAACGCACAAAAAAAAAGTACAAAACGCTGCGAATCAAGGATGAAAAGCGAAACATAATGAGTATAAGGGAAAATGCAGATGAATAACAGTTCAGTTCATAACAGAAAAAGAAAGGTTACATTGCAAAAAATTCTTAAACTAACCTCTAACAGAATTCAAGTGTAAACCTATTCTACCCTCCCATAATTCTAGATAAAACCCAACTGTAACTAATATAAGAGGGATGAGCTTTATCAATTTTCGTTTTCCATCTGCTCTCATTCACTTCATTTTTCATATTCTTCATTCCATCTTCAATTCTCTACTTTTCACTCGCACACTCTCTGCTACTTCATCTTCATCAAATCCAACACCACTCTGCTACATATCTTCAACCTTCAGCTTTCTTCAAATCTTCACCATCAACTCAACTTCAACCTCACTACAATTCAACAAACAAATCCATCAATTCCACAATTTGCAACCACAATAATCTGAGCAATTTGTGACGTCAAGAATCAACAAAGAATCTCTCGGTAATTTGCAACCGCAACAATTCAACGTCACGATTCAACAAGAATTCCGTGAAATCCCAACAACATCGGACAACATCACGCAAGAATAATTCATCATTAAGAAACAAATTCGCAACAAAACTCTGCAATGATTTATG